AGATTGCTCAGAAATGTGTACACTACTAGAAGGATTTGTTGCGGTATTTTTGACATATTGTCCAGGATATTTTGGTCTACCTGGAAACCTATAGGCTCCTGGTTCACTCGGCTTCTCAGGACGGGATTGTATTTCTGGTGTTTCAGTACTAAAAGTCTCTGGTGTACTAGAATGTTCAAAAGTTGATGTTCTTTCTATTGTATTTGCAATGTTTGAAGATGATTGTTTCCCAGGGTATAGAGGATGCGGTAGTGGTTTTGGTGATGTTTTCGCTGGTATTTTTGCAATATCAGGAGCCGAATTCATGCTGGAGTACACTGGTCGGAATGATGTTCCTGGTGTTCTCAAACTTGTAGTAACTGGTAAATTTTCGTGGGTTCCTGCAATATCATGAATGCATTATAGTGTTACATTTATTTATTCCGTATTCAATATTATGTCTTATATTCTATGATGACAATGAGTATCTACCTATATTTAAGTGTTTTCTCGTTAATGAATGTTTTGTGTTTTCGGTCTGTCAAGAGACCGTTAGTCAGAAAAGTTATCGTTTTCTGCGGAGTTAAAATTTTCAGGACTAATTGATTGTGTTATTTCGTCATCACTGTCTAAAAATCTAGGGGAAATCGGTGATTGAACGTAATTTTCTTTTAAGAATTCATTTATTGTACCACTAGATTCTTGTGAGTTGGTTGTGAACGGTGAACGGTCGTGAACGGTTTTATTTTCTTTACAATCAATTTCAAATTCTTGTATATCAGGAGTTAATGGATTTTCTGGAGTAAGTATTGAAATCAAATCTGAATCTTGAATTCTGCAAGGGCTTTTTATGGGAGATAATAGATCAGGAACCCTCGCTATGTCTAAGTATTGGTAAGAAAATGGTTCTTGTTCATGTTCTGTTACAATGTCAGGAGACGGTGATCTGTTATCAATAATAGATGATGATTGTATGGCTAAGTTATTAGAAGAAGTGCCTGGCTGTTCAGAAATATCAAGTTTTGTCTGTTCGTCAAATTTTGTAGGACTTGATGACTGTTTTGAGTTCTTTACTTGATAATATATGTTAATAGGAATACTACAAATAATTGATGGTTTAGGTGGAATTACGGTTGGTGAAAGTGGTGAGTCTTCTGATGTACCTGATTGTGATGTTTCTTTTTCAGGATTACTTTGTCCACTTGAAGTATCCGAAGTATTTAATGTATCAAGGGTAGAAGAATGTGATGCCTTATTTTCATCAGAATTGTCTCGATTATTTTGAGTATTTAAAGTTTCTTTTGTATCAGAGTTTTCTGGTGTATCAGCGTATACAGGTTGTTGTAATATTTTTGGTGTTTTCGGGGTTCCTGAGCTTCCAGAAGTTCTTGGTGTGCCAGGGTCTCTAAGATGCGATGGTGTTTCTGTTGAACTTGGAGTACCAGCAATGTCTTCTTTACCTGGGGTACTAAAAATCCCGGATGTGCTAGGATATGTAGGGTGCAATGGAGTTCCTATTATTCCTGGAACGTTAGAGATTCCAGATTTTTTAGGTGAGTTAGGTATATTAAAAGTTCTAGGAAATTCTGGTTTATCAGAAATATCAAAATTGTTTGGTGGAGAAGAATATACAGGTTGTGATGGTTTTTCTATAATAATAGGAGTTCTTGATGTGCCGCTGTATGGAGGTTGGAATGGTTTCCCAGGAGTGACGAATGTTCCAGATGTGCTAGGATATTCTGGATAAAATGACTTTTTTGGTAAGTCTGGAGTATTAACAATCAGTGGTCTTGCTGGTTCTCTAGGAAATCCAGGATGTGACGGAGTTTTTTGTACTTCCGGAATGTCAGGAACTCTTGGTCTTCCTGGGATTTTCGGAGTGCTAAGAATTTCTGGTATGACCGGTTTTTCAGGGTATTCAGAATGCGATGGTGTTCTATGTGTTTCTG